GATCTGAGTTTGAGGCCAGCCTGGCCTACAGAGCGAGATCCAGGACAGGCTGCAAAAGCTACGCAGAGAAACCCTGTCTCAAAAACCGGAAGAGAGAGAGAGACAGAGAGAGAGAAAGAGAGAAAGAAAGAAAGAAAATACCCAGCAATCTCTTGGGGGCTGGAGAGATGACTCAGATTAAGAGCACTGGCTGCTTTTCCAGAGGTCCTGATTTCAATTTCCAGCCACCACATGGTGGCTCACAACCATCTACAATGAGATCTGGTGCCCTCTTCTGGCCTGCAGGCATACATGCATGCAGAACACTGTATACATAATAAATAAATCTTTAACCAAAAAAAAAAAAAAAGATGTGGGACACATTTCAGTACCGTGGTGTGGCTGTCTTAACTATAATTCATTTCCTTGTCATCTGTTGACATGACTTCAGCTCTTGTTTAAGCCAGTGGGCTTGCTTTGAGCTGTATCTCCTTCATTTGTTTCTGCCTTTACCCAGTATGCTGTCTCGTTTAAGTAACTGCCATTATTTGTTGGATTCTTTTTTTATAAATATTTATTTAATTTTGTGTGTATGTGTGTCTGTAACTGTTTAGAATTATGTCTGATCTAAAAGGCAGAATTCTGAGGTTTGGCTGTAACTGTGAGTCTTTGTGCTTAGACTCTGATATTTCTTCTGGCATTGCTAAGAAAATTTAGACTAGTCCCTGAAGATTTCTGGAAATGTGAGTTGTCATTGTGACTATCAATTCTGTGTTTGTTTCCTCCTCTAATATTCTCTTATTCTGTGCCTTGATCGATCAATATAAATTCAGTGTAGGCTGCAGTGTAGATATTCTTACTGCAAATCTTTACCTTAACTTAAATTGTACTAATTGTTTAAATAGTTTTGTTTGTGTTCATTTGTAAATATAAAAACTGTTCCCATAAAATATTATATAATTAATCCTTTTTATTTTATTATAAAGTAATGTTAAACAAAAATCCTAGTATAAATTTAGATTCATAAAGATGTTAGTGATTATGTTCAATTAGTGATTCTGTAGAAGATTTCATCAGCTTTTTAATGTTACTATGTAAGGATTTTGGTGTGTGTTTGTCTGTCTGGTATTGGAGGTTTTGTTTGGTTGGTTTGGTTTGAATTGGGTTTTTCATTGGTTCTGGGAATTGAATTCAGAGCTTCCTGTGTACCAAGCAAGTTCTCTACGATTGTACTGTTGAGTAGCACTCCCCATTGGATTTTGAATGAAGTGGTGAACTGTGCCAGGCTGCCCCCATCTCCACCACAAGCATAGTATACTTGTCTTAGGAGAAAAGGGAAGTTTACTGATGGCTCCACTCTGTGTAGTCAGCTTTGTTAGTACTTCCTTCTGGACCTGGCTTTATCTGTGCATACTGGTTTCATGGTGGTTGTGGTTATATGTTCTGTAACACTGAATCATTCTTTTTCATTGTACTAGCAAAGGCATTCCGTGTTTAAACTGCATTGATACTATTTTGATTAGCTACTTTCTAATTCTTAGGAGTGTATTTCTAGATTGATTGAACAAAGGCCTGGGTTTAATCACTAGTTACACACACACACACACACACACACACACACACACACACACACCACACACTTAGATAAAGCAGATGATGATGATTCGCATGGGACAAATATCAGAATTGGAGAAACTGGTTAAAAAAACAAGTTTTAGAAGTTTTGATGTTTAGTGAGCATCTTTATGCATAAAACTATCACTGAGGATTTTTTAAAAATTTCTGATCTTTTTTTCCCTTACCCCCTAATTCACAGGTGACTATAAGAAAGATGAACTCTTGGAAAGTGCCAGGTGTGTACTACTATTATGTATATGTGCCATGAAAACTTAACAGTGAGGGGATGGAAAGATGGCTCAGGGATTGGGACCGCTTGATATTCTTGCAGAGGACCCAGGTTCGGTTCCCAGCACCCACAAGACAGCTCACAACCATCTGTAACTCTAGTTCCAGAGGTTCCTATACCCACTCCTGACTTCTTTGGGCTCCAGACAGAGTTTTTCTATGTAGCTTTGGAGCCTGTCCTGGAACTTGCTTTGTAGGCCAAGCTGGCCTCAAACTCATAGAGATCCACCTGCCTCTGCCTCCTGAGTGCTAGGATCAGAGGTGTATGCCGCCACCACCCAGCTAAAAATAAATCTTTAAAAAGCAAGTTTTTGCTAGATACAGTGGTGGACACCTTTAATCCCAGCATTCCAGGGGCAAAGGCAGGTAGATCTCTATGAGGGGATGGAGAGGTGACTCAGTGGTTAGGAGTACTTGATGTTCTTGCAAAGGACCTAAGTTCAGTTCCTGGTACCCACATCAGAGGGCTTAAAACTACCCTTAACTTTCAGCTCCAGGAGCATCTGGTGCCTCTGACCTCTGTAGGCAGCACACATTAGCATGTATGTGTACACACACATACATACACACACACACACACACACACACACACACACGAAAAGAATAAAAATATTTAAAAAGAAAACAGATTTTACTGTGAATCTCTGGTTGGTCATCCCCACTCCCGAAATGTGTTAGTGACCCACACTTGTAATCTCCATCCATGGCAGGCAGAGTCAGTAAGCCTACTATGAGTTCAGGATAGCTCAAGCTACATAGAGAGTTCTAGAACAGTCTGTGCTACAGAATGTAACAGGCTTTTTTTTTTAAAAAAATTGTTTTTAATGCCATAAGCATCCTTTAAGAGAAGACTTTGTTTTAATGGTCTCAATACATAGTATAAGCTACTGATGTATTTTTTGGTGTGTTTCTAGGAGTGGCAATGAGGAAAAAATGATGGCTTTGCTTACACCGTTGAACGTGAACTGCCATGCAAGTGATGGCAGAAAGGTACTTGCTTTATGATTCTTTTTTTTTTGTCATCTAGTGATAGGAATGTATATTTATTATAAATTAAAACATTTAAAGAGAGTTCTGGTGTTTTCTTTTTAAATAGAAATTGAGATTCTTAAACTTAATAAAACTCATTGATAATGAACATTTGTTTCTGTATCCAGTAGTGAACTTTAAACTTTTATGCTATGCTTTCTATATATTAATTTTATAAAACCAAAATGATTGTTTCTTAGCAATGAAGTCATAGTTAGATTTTGTTTTGTTTTGTGTTTGGGTTTTTATGTTTTCAGACATTTATGCAGCCATTATGTGAATTTCATTAGTGTATCTGGTTACTGTTTCAGTCAACTCCATTGCATTTGGCAGCAGGATACAACAGAGTAAAGATTGTGCAACTGTTACTGCAGCATGGAGCTGATGTCCATGCTAAAGACAAAGGGTAAGCTTTGAACAAAAGTGAAGTCTTGTTAGAGTCCTTGTAACACACTATCTCCTTAACGAAAGCACTTTCCTAGTACTGTTTAAGCAAATCGTTTGTGTTTATTGAGCTTTTATAAGATGCAGGTTGTTCTGAGCACCATAGGGATTATAAAGCATTAAGCCTACCACTCATACATTATAATTTATAGCTTGTGAAAGATGCTTCATAAATTTGAGTGGTAAGTAGAGATTGATGGATGGAGTTATTAGAAAATCTATTAGAAGATATATGTTCCACCCATATCTTCAGGGCAGGGTGTGATACCACATGTCTATAATCCTATAACTTGGAAAGGTATAGTCAGAAGACTCAGGAGTTCAAGGGCATTTTTAACTACATAGCAGTTCTGGGCTATATGGAATCTAGACTCAAAAATAAATGAATAAACAAATAGAAAGCAGAGTTTAGGGAATATGATTCTATAGGAAAATGTAGGTAGTACATTTAATAAGTAGTAACCAAGCCAACTTGGACACAGGCATATAATCCCAGCTCCTTGGGGCCTGGGATGAGGCCGGCCTGGGGCAATTTAGTCAGATATTCATACCACCCCACCCCCACCCCTGGTGAAAGAAGGTAAATGTAGCTCAGTGGTAGGACTTTTGTTTTAGCATGCACAAAGGCCTGGGTTCGTTCACCAATAACACACACACACAAACTTGGATAAAGCAGATGATGGTGATTCACATGGGACAAATACCAGAATTGGAGAAACGGGTTAAAAAAATCAAGTTTTAAAAGTTTTGATGTTATTAGCACAAGAAATTCAACTTTGTTCTTTAGTCTTAAGCATTTTATGATCTGAAAGGAAGAATTGTTGTTTTATCCTCAAAGGAACTTGAGAGGTGCATTATGGGATAATACATGTTGGATTAATTGGGGAAGGAGGAGACTAGAAGAGCAGTAGCTAAGAGTGAGCACTGTGGAGCTTCTATACAGCTAAGGTCTCTAGCAGTGATTGAGGGGAAATGAAAAGGAAGGCAGAGACATACTGCAGTGTGATAGCAGAGATAGTGAAGATCTGGATGTCAGGCAAGAGAGAAGAGTAGAGAAAATCACATCCTGGAACATGTTAGGCCCACAGCACACATGCTGAAGTGTGGGAGGGAAATGACTTGGCAGAAAACATTATGCTAACTTTTAGAGCTCTTGGTTTTATGAGAATGGAAATTCAAGCAGCAGTATTTAGTGAGTGGCAGTAGAATTGGTATTCGGGCAAGGAGAGAGCTGTGTGTTACCAGAAGCTGCTCGGGCAGTGCTTGTATGAATAATAATGCTGATCCCAAGGAGAGGGAGAAGCTTAAAAGGTAGAAGCCAGAAGTTCTTCCATTACATTACAAAGGAATTTGGCCTCAGTTTACTGAGAACTGTATAGCATTTATTTTAGAGAAGTTCAAAAGATGTTTCAAATACCTACGAGCTAGTATTCAGAATAAATCTGAAAAAGAAATGTAAATGTGAGCCAGAGCAACAGAAGGAAGGAAAGCTATACCCGGGAACAGTACGTGTGCAGACACACAGGAATTACAAGGCCAGAGAGAAGCTCAGAACCTTGTGTGTGTCATGCTAACTTAGAACCAGATGCCCAACTTTAATCCCAACACTGGGAACTCAGAAGCAGGTAGATGTCTGTGAGTTCAGGACCAGCCTGGTCTACAGAGTGAGTTCCAGGCCAGCCAAAGCTGCATAGTAAGACCTCATCTAAAGAAATATTAAAAAATTAGAACCATCTCTTCAAAGCAAGGATGAACAATGATATTAAAACAAGAATGCCTATAAGGGATTTACCTTTATAAAAATCTGGCTAATGCTTAGAGAATAAATTGGGTTAGCAGTTGTTTCAGAAATAAAGTTTGTTAACATTATGTAATCCCAAACTATAGCCAGTAGTAGTGGTAGGGAGAAAAGGAATATGGATTTGAAAGAGACTCAGGAATTACAATTTGAAGATTGCCCTAGACTTAGGGACTCTGTTGTAATAATAGGCTTTTTTTTCTTCATCTTGTAGTGATCTGGTGCCATTACACAATGCCTGTTCTTACGGTCATTATGAAGTAACTGAACTTCTGGTCAAGGTTAGTTCTTTTGTGCCTTATTCTATAATTACATAAAATGATTTGAAATGCATACTGTTTCTGGCTTATTTTTTGTTCTGGGTTCTTGATAGAAAGCGGGAATAATCATAACATGCAGATTATTGATAAGCTAGCATTTGAATGCCTTCAGAATTTTGAGATACTAAGCAATGTCAAATATAAAGTAGCACTAAAGAGGTCATACTAAAGTGTTACTGAAGTGAGGGATCAGGGACTTACCGGAATAAGATTGAAAATACATACAGAGGTCCTGGGCAAGCACCAGGTTGACACCCCTTGCTGAAGAGTCTGGCTAACAAAAGACATTCATTCAGCGACTGCATCTGTGACCAGAACACTCACTGTACCTAGGAACAGAGGGTACCAAGTCACATCCCTGAGTTAAATAATGAAGTATGGCACCAGCACACATAAAAATAGCAAGGGTTGGCATGAGCAAGATGTCTTATTGGATAAAGCCCCTGCTGCCTAGCCTGGTGACCTCAGTTTAATCCCTGGGGTCCACATGGTAAGAGAAACCAACTCCTTCAAGTTGTCTCCTGACCTCTGCATGTGTACTGTGGCG